CAGGGCGTAAGTATAAAGTTTGCTTGATTATAATATTAATACGAGTTATATTTAATTCTTAATTATTTGTGTTAAATTAACAGGAGGTAAGTATAAAGTTTTCTTGATTAATATTAATACGAGTTATTTTTAACTATAATTATTTTGTGTTAAATTAACAGATAGTAAGTATAAAGTTTGCTTGATTATAATAATATTATAAATTATATTTAACTCTTCATTATTTTATGTTAAATTAACAGTGCGTAAGTATAAGGTTTGCTTAATTATAATATTAATAGAGTTATATTTAACTCTTAATTTTGTGTTAAATTAACAGTTTGTAAGTATAATTTTTGCTTAATTGTAATAATATAAATACTATTTAACTTTTGATATTCTTGTGCTAAATTTACAAATTTACAGGGCGTAAGTACAAGGTTTACTTAATTATAATAATAATATAAGCAATACATAACTCTTAATTATTTTTGTGTTAATTAACAGTTTGTAAGTATAAATTTTGCTTGATTATAATATTAATACGGGTTATATTTGACTCTTAATTATTTTTTGTTAATTAACAGGGTGTAGGTATAAGGTTGCTTAATTATAATAATAATATAAATAATATTTAACCCTCAGTTATTTTATGTTAAATTAACAGGAAGTAAGTATAAAGTTTTTCTATTTATAGTGATATATTAATATAAATAATACTTGACTCTTAATTATTTTTGTTAAATTAACAGGAAGTAAGTATAAAGTTTGCTTAATTATTATATTAAATAAATAATATTTAACTTTTAATTTTTTGTTTTAAATTAACAGGTTGTAAGTATAAGGTTTGAATTATGATAATTAATATGAATAATATTTAACACTCAATTATTGTGTTAAATTAACAGGGGGTATGTAAAGTTTATTTTTTAGTAAAAATAAAAGTTTTTATATTATTAAATCATCAAATTATTATTTAGATTGTAAGTATAATTTTTTTAAAAAAATGTGTATCTTCTAATTGTCACATTATTAACCATTTCCAATAATTATTAGATCGTAAGTATATAGCTTATTTAAAAATCTATTTGTGTTAACAAATAGTATTAAAGGATTTTATTGTATTAAATCAATAGAAGGTATGATTAATTCCTATATAACTAATACAATTGAGTCTGCATATAATTATTATATTAATAATTAATTATTCATTATTAAAAGCTTGTGAGTATAAAGTTTAATTTTATTTCATCAATACTACATTATATTTAAAATTAACTTTCGTGTCAAATTATCAGGCTGTAAGTAGATATATAAATACTATGTTGTAGCATTATGTTTTTGTTTGACAATTTATTTTTTTTATTCAACAGGGCGTTGGTGTAAATTGATATTATTATTTTTAGTTTTAAAATGTCATTAAATACTTATTTTTTTATTAATAGAATGTAAGTATATACTTTATTTGTTATTTTACGAATTGATAAAAATTTTGTCAAATTGTTGAGCATTTATGTTAATCTGTTAGAATGTAAGTATAATTAATTTATTCTCATAATTATATGTACGTATATTATTAAATCATTTTGCATTAATTTAGTGCGACGTGAGTATTAAAATTTAAAAATTAGAATATTACGGATATTAATTATTTATCAATTAATAGGAAGTAAGCAAAAATATTATTTAAATTAATATATTAATAATATATGCTAATGTTATTTATCGATAACATATTTGTTAATACTTATAGAAAGTAAGTATAAGACTTATCGAAGTATCTGCAATTATTATTAAATAATGGATTGTTTCATATTAATTCATTAGATGGCAAGTATAATTCATATTAACATTTCCAGAATTTTTATTGATTTTGGTTTTGATTTATTTTTATATTAAAATACAGGGAGTAAGTCAAATTTTTAAATACATTTGAGCATCTGATATATTTCTAAATAATTTTTGATTTATTTTTTGATAAAAAATAATAGGACGTAAGTATAAATTGTAAATAATTTTTATTTAAAGTTTAATATGCTAATTTTATTAATTGCATGTTAAAATATTAGAGAGTAAGTACAAATTTTTTTAAAAAAGTTTTTTTTTCGATATGTTATTTATTTTTTAAATTATTTGTATTCAAATTAACAGTGAGTAAGTATAGAATTATTTAAACGTTATTTATTAAGTGTTATAATAAATTTTAATTTTAATCTATTTTGTCAATTATTAGACTGTAAGTATGAAGTTTAAATAAAAGTAGAAGGATTTTAAATATTAACAAATGCCAATAATTTCTAGTATAATTATCAGCAGGTATATATTTACTTAAATATTACATTATATTTTTATGAAAAATTTTTAATTCAATTTTTCTTTTCCTCGCATTAAATTATTAGTCGGTAAGTATGAATTGAGGTTAAATAAATATTTTAATAAATAATAAGCTTATTTTTGTGATGAATTATTAGGCTGTAAGTTTATAGTTTATTTATTTAATCACCATTTAAAATTATGCCAATTTAATTGCCAATTTAATTTGTTGAATTATAGTAGGCAAGTATGAAGTTCTTTAATTAAATAAAGAATGTTATAATAATTTATTTTCCATTCGATTAACAGTGAGTGAGTAGAAAATTTATTATCGTTATATAAGAATATTTGAGTATTGTATTAATTGATTCTTTTTTGAAATAACAGGAAGTAAGTCTGAAGCTCATATAAATATTGTATCATATAACTATCAAAATTCTTAATTTATTTTTATCACAGATTGTAATTATGGAATTCATTTGGCTATCGATAAGAACATTTGCAAATACTAATTGCTAATTGATTTTCGTGTTGCATAATAGAGAGTGAGTAAAGACTTATTCGTATATTTTATTAAAAGTATATAAATATTATTTATTAATACTTCTATTATATGTTAATTAATAGGGAGTGAGTATAGTATTTGTTTATTATAAATATCTACCAATATCATTAAACATATTTTCGTCAATAATTAGGCAGTGAGTATAAATTTATTTGTTACATATTATTTTAACCAAATTATGTTAGATTATTAAATAGATGCTAAGTTTATTTAAATTAAAATACTAAGGTCATTTATGTGCAATAAAACTTCTAATATCATAACATAATATATTTTGATCTATTTTCAGGATGTAAGTATATACTGTAAAGTTTTATCAAATAATGCGCCAATAGAATTTAAGCACGTTTTATTACCGACTTGTGAGTATAAAGTTTAAATTATTCATTAAAATTGCCAGGCGGTAGGTATCTAATTGATTTACTTATGGCATTTAGATATCTAAATATCGAAATTAATTATAAAATAATTAATCTCATCTTAAGTACAAGTTCGTAAGTATATTGGTCGTTTTATTTACTAGTTATTGTTTCGCGTTTTAATATCTGAGCAAATACATGTTGATTTATTTTATCTCGAAATTTATTAGGCAGTAAGTATGAATTAATGCTTGAAATAATTGCATACTGTATAATTAAACTTCTACATTTTATTCATTAAAAGAAAGTGGGTATAAGATGCGCTTCTTTTCAATTTACTATTAATGATGTATATTGATTATACATTTGCGTATTAATTAAAGACGGTGAATTATAAGTTTTCTATTTTATTTTCACAAACATTTGATATTTGAAATTAATATGTTATAACTAATTACCAGGCCGTGAGTATAACTTTTACCGTATGGCTCAATTTATCGAAAATTTGTTTACAAGTAACCTAATGATTTATGCATAAAAGGGAGTAAGTATTAGATAATCGTACTTTTAATGTTTGTTTATAACCATTGTAAACAATAAATTCATTTTACTTTCAAAATTTCAGATCGTAAGTATATAATTTCAAACTATAAAATTAATCACAGAGCATAATCATTTCTTTAATCTAAATTCACTAATTCTAATTTTATTAGTTTGTAAGTGCAAAATTTATTTCTTATAATTATTAAATGATTGACCATTAAACATAATATTTGCAATTAATTAGGGCGTGAGTATATTTTTTAGAAAGCAAACATATAATGGTTATTTATTTTTCAACTAAAATTAATCATGAATTTTTAAATTCATATAACTATTAGTAGGTAATTATATAATACATATTATCAAAGGAAAAAAAAAAATAGAAATCAGACTACGTTCCTCTTACTAGGTTATCTATTATAGTGTAAGCGGCAAATCATTTGAGTTTGCAATTAATCAATGGGATGGACGTAATTTTGACCCAAGGATTAGTATAAATCCGGCGTATTTTTATGAGATATCTGTTATGATAAATAATGTAGAATTATTATCCAAGGAAATATCTGGCAATTTCATGGAGATCAACTTATTGGATTATCTTAAAAAAATTAATGATTATTCAGCTAAGTTAGGAGTATCAATCAAAGAAGGGTTATTTTTTGCGTCTAACACCCTTTCTTATTTTTCCAAGAATCACAATGAATTCATCAAAGGATGGAAAAATGATCTTGACTCTCGAGGGAAAATCAATAATCTAGCTAATCCGCATTTAAATTTTATTGAAGAATCCATCAAAAATTGCAAAAAATTTGCTGATCAATTTAGTGAAGTTCATGAATTTCTTAACAGTGGAATTATTATAAAACTTGAAGAGGCACTTCAGAAAATTGAAAATAAAACGGATAAAACAATATATGAACAAACGTTGGAAAAAAAGAACAAGATCGACGAATGGGTTCAAAAATCCAATGAAATATTTCATATTAGAAATTATCGAAAGGTAACTAAAAATTTTTTTATGTTATTATTAAGTTATTGTCAATTTTTATTTTAATGTTTATTATTTTAATAAAGAAAATAGACGAAGGAAACGCTAGTTTAAAAGAATTAAATGAAAAAGGATATAAAAATTTGATGATGGATCGTCTAATTGTCGAATTGAAATGCGTTATAAAGATGCGATTAAAAATTTTAAAATTAAAAGAAGTATCAGGTAAATTTAAATATTATAAAAAATATTATATTATGATAGCTAATTTTAAATTTATACATTAGATTTTTGGAAACGAATTTTCGACGAATTTCAAATAAACAGAGAATTAATGAAGGAAAATGTAAACCATGGCGAATTATATGTAAAAGAGTATGCAATTGATCATACAATTGATCATTGGGCAAAAATTGGATACACCATTGATGCTTTTTTTACAAATATATTATGCCCCCATCGTTAAATAGTTGAAAAGGTCGGGAATTTAAAGTTGGGATATTTGGAAATATAGGTATATAATTAGACTAGTATATTCTATCGCATATATTTTTATTAGCTCTTATTATACTACACTTATATTATCGAACATTTGATGTATTAGTTAAATATTATATATATACATATAATTAAAGGATATATATTTTAGCAATATACCGCATATGTATGATCACGTTATTAATGTAATGGTACTGATTACTGTATACTGTTATTATTATTGGCAAGTCTGTCGCTAATCCGGGAATGGTACTCGCATAACGATGGTTAGGTAAGTTAGAACTTCGTTTCCATTTTATATTATTGAGATTCTCCCTATCTTTTCATGCAAACTATCCTATTATGACAAGCTATTGTTAACTTTACCCAACCGATTGATGATCAATGCCACTGCCCATTTAGATTATTGATAACAATACATAATTATATTAATTTATGACAATTTAAAGTTTATAAATAAAAATCTAACTGAATATCTGAAGAGCTATTATGAGCTAACATAATAAAAAACTATTATTTTAAATAAATAAATCAGCCTGCAATTAGTATTGGATATTTTATATTTTTCCATATGAGCAAGAGCAGACTTTATTTGTTATTCTATATTACAGGCAAGTGATCCCCATGCAGCATCCTTACTGCACTTTAAAATTACAATAATTTACGTGAAAATCTAGAAACGCAAGAACCACTTAAATTGATAAAGATGTATTATACCATAATTGACCGTATAATTAATTTTGCAAATTGTGCGAATCTTTTATTATTGATGTATAGTCGCCTATGTTGCTTTTATAAATTAAATAAATTCATATAAATAAAGATCATTAATAATAATTTATGAAATTTTTTAAATATTTTTCTAAATTAAATTATTATTATTATTAAAAAAACGGCAAAATAAATATTCATCATACATTTTTTATTAATACTATAAAGGGCACAGTTGATCACAAATCTGTGCTTATGCCATAAACATATGATTTATTGAAAAATTAATATCATTTTGCATTATTCTCACTATTTTCATTATTATGTTCATAAAGTTGTAAAGGTATTTATAGATGTTTATTTTAAAGGAGGAAGAGTATTCATTTATAAATGGTGCTGATTTTGGATAGGAGTTAAAGTCTCCTTATTATTTATTATATCATTTTTCTTACTATTTTATTGTTTAACTATTTTTACTATCAAGACCATATTGATTATTTTTTAATAATATAATCAAAAACATGTTTATTAAATAAAATTGAATCTCTTAATAAAATCATGAACTGCTATTAGTAAAAATTGTGTAATAGTTTAAATAGTCATTTGGGATGTTTTTTTTATTAATATATACAAATATTTATTAGGTTTATTAAAAAATATTTCAATGTTTCAGCTTTAAAAGTTGAGTCCTATAACCAGAAAAGCTTAACTGATCTCTTATAATATTGTTTGAGTTCATTACACTTTATATTATCAAATAAAATATTTTTATTTAATCTAAAAACAAATCAAATCATAAATACTGTAAATCATAAAATCTTGAGTATACTTTTTGAAGCTATTACTTATTTTATATTCCTTATTACATTATTATTATAACTATTCTATATTAAATTTAAATTTAAATAAATATGTTTAAATACAACATATAAATAAATAAAAAAATTTTATTGCTTAGAATTATTATATTAATTTTATTAAAATATAAACAGTTTATTATTGATATAAGATAAAAAAAATATCTACTATTAATTAAATATTTATAAAATAATAAATAAAATAAATACAGTATTAGGGCTCTGAAAAGTATCAAACCAGTACCAAAGTGATATCAAAATAGTACTAATCTATAGTAAATTTAATATATGGATTATAACCCACTCATATAAATTTATAGTAAATTTAAGTATTGAACTGATATTGAAAGATATCGAAATGGTACTGTTAAAAGCCCTATACAGTATTATTATATTTTATAAATCAATATTATTTAAATTATTATTTAATCACAAAGCCTTGCAAACAATCACATTCTATAAATAAGTTCATCTTTAAATAATATTTATTGAAATAATATTTTGATGTTAATTTACAATTATTAAAATTTAAAATTCAAATTTTAACTATAATAAATAAAAATATTATATATAATTTTTTAAAAATAAATTTATAAATATTAAAATTATTATTTTTTAATTATAAAAGAATATTAGATATAAAACTTTATTAGTATATATGTTAACAAAAGAAATCAATAATCATAACTATACAATATAATTTTATATAACAATATTATAATTTATTATGCTGAATTTTTATTATATAACTAATGGTTTTGTTTTTCTTTTTTTATTTTTTTTATAATAGAATGGGCATTAGATGCCAATCACTTTATTGATATATATATGATATTACAATTATATCAAATATTATTTGTAATACTAGACTATAGCTAAATGCTACTCTAATCTACTTATTATTTTAGTGATACTAGTGATACTTATGAAGTAAATTTATATTTTTTGGATGGAACCTATCTAGGAATAGATTTTTTACCACTAGTTTAAATTATCTAACCTACTGTTGGGCTGGAAAACGGCGAGTCAGTCGCTTGCCCGGTCCAAAGTTGGAGTTATGAAAGGTAAGTCGAGGCGTGTAAGATTGATTTTAGCCGAGAT